GACTAAAGCGTATCATTTATTCTCAAAATAGGAGTTCTATATTTTTATCTCCTAATTAGAAGTTTGTATTGTGATATTATGACACTGTATATTGATATTCCATTGTGTTTTTTGGTACAGAGTATTATATATTGACATTATTGGCATTATAACTCCTATTTTATAATTAAAAAATACGGAATTTCTATTTTGGCACTTTCTCCATATTTTAGTTCCGATTTAGATGATAGGAATACCGGCAAGGTTCCTATGACATTGCCCGGTAATGTCATGAGATGACCCGGGGGTGCTCCGGTGCCCCATTCGTAAAATTGATGGTTTTTGGCCATTGAAAACTCATTGGAATTGTCTATATTCTTTTGCCTTTTCCACATTATTAGAAAGAAGACCTTTCATTCTTTAGCGTTTGCTGCAGGTCTCTTTTAGGTTCACAATAAGGGGTGCGATCAAATGCGATCATAATATGACAACAATTTAATTGGAGTACCTACAGTGCACATGTACAGTGCCACATCACCACAGTGCAAAGTCCTATTTCGAGAAAAAAACATGAAAGTCCTATTTTAGTACTTTTCTTTATGTTTTAGTTTTATTTAGGGAGATTTCTATATTTATAAATCCAAAACGTAAAGTAAAATTTTATGGTATACATGTTTTTATTAAAATTAAAAAAACATGAATTTTGGAAATTTTTTACAATATTTATCATGGTTTATTATAATACTTATTATGTAAATAAATTCATATACTCTCTGCGTCCACAAATAAACTTTCTGTTCACTATTCATATGATCAACCTTTATTTACTTTGTTGGCTTATTTTCGTCACCCATTTGGCAACCCAATATAGTCATGTCACTTCTAGTTTTGTATATCTTTTGATATAGTTTTTTAATATGTAATTTTTATTTTTAAATTTTACACTATTTTTCATATAAAATTATTTGAAAATAACTTCAGTCAAACATCATAACGGGTAACGAGAAGTTTTTTGTGGATGAAGGAAGTATAAGCTGTATAACACATGAGGCCCGTCATTAAATAAAAAATGGAAAGTGAGAAGAATTATTCAAATGATGCATAGAAAGTTAATACTCCCTCTGTTCCTAAATATTCACAACATTTGCTTTTTCAGCAGTTGCGGGAACTTTTGTTTATTTCGACGTTTTCATTGGTTATTTGATAAAATAAAATATTCTTGACACCTCTTATTTCGAAGAACTTTTCATGTAGTTTTTGATATGTAAATTTTATTTTTTATTTCTATACCAATATGTAAATAAAATGAATTGAAAAAACTTGATATTTTGCCTCAGAAATACAAATGTAGCAAATAATTTGGGACGGAGGGAGTACTGCACTACTTCGTATGATAAATTAAGTGGTAGGAGAAATGAGTAAAGATAGTTTAAAGTGTCATACTCCCTCCGTCCCAAAAAGAATGGGACGGTTTGACTTTTTGGTAAATTAAGGGAGGAATATTTTAGTATTGACTTTCCAAAAATACTCTTGATGTGATGGGAAAAGTAGGACATGATGGGTAAATTATTAGAAAAAAGGTATGATGTGATTGGTAGGGTTTGAAAAAGTAAAGGGTAAAAGTGGTTTTTTAATAGAAATGTAACCGACTTTTAAACGTAACAAATTTTTTGGGACGAAGGGAGTAACAGATTTTCAGACGACGGTGAAGTGAAGATGAGAGAAGGGGAAATATTACAATGATTACATTGACTAGGGTCCGAAAAGGGAAAGGATAAAGCTATTTGTACCTCATTTGTACACCGCAGGTTTGCACTAACATTTTGTGTTGGTGTAAAATTAATTTTTGTTAACGCACCAACACTTTGCGTCCGTGTAAATTTTTGTTAACGCACCAACACTTGTGTCGGTGTAAACCATCAAAATATTTGTGTATAATTGCGGTGTACAAATATGGTACAATTTTTGGTGTAAATGTAGCATGGTCCAAAGAAAAATACTCATTATCTTTGCAAGCTGGGATCCAAACAAACATCCTACTCAACTCCGTCTCATATCTACTCTTTCATTCCCTTCCAAAATAAATTACTAAGTTAAGCTTGAATAATTATTTAAGAACATTTTTCCATCCATTTTTTATTTAAAGATTTATATTGAAATAAAAAAACTTGTATATCTAAAACTACATAAAAAATTTTAAAAAATAAAAGATAAAAAAATATTTTATTTTATGAAATAAACAATGAAATTGTAAAAATACACAAAAATTGCCGTGATTCAGAACAATGCACATTGTAATGAACTCTGGGAAAGAGAGAGTATGGTACCTTCTTAGTTGACTTTTCACGGTCTCCTATGCAACATTTTGATCATTAATATACCTATTTATATAACATCGATTATAAAAATATAATAATTCAAAATTACGTTTCAAAATGACACTATTAATACTAAATTAATATCATCATTTAATGTAATTTTTTGATTATACATGATCAAAGTTTATAAAGGTTGATTACAGATGAAGTCAAACTGAAAACAAAGATAAGAAACGAAAGGAGTAAAATACAAACAACCAAGAGTGTCAAGGTATCAGAGTTAAGGTTTTCGAAAATATAGATTATTATTTACATTCCTTATTCACTAGTTTTCGTATTGTATTGTTACTATAATTCTTCTCTTACTATGATTAGAACTCTCTCTTCTAATCCTTATATATAGGTAGGTATCATTCATTATTAAAGAAGACCAATTAATATCAAATTATATCATGATATCGGAGTTAAGGTTTCCAAAAACCTAGCCCTTCCTTTTTCGATCGAGCATATCGCTGGTCTCTGTTCATGGCAATCGACCGTCCGACAGTATGGCGTCACGGACCAATCTCGACGAGCGTGTCTAACAGCCGCCATCCATTATCCGTCTTTTTCTTGCCAAAAAATCTATTATCTCTCTCTCAAAGATATGTGATCAAAGAATTAGAAAGTTGTATTTATCTGTGTTTTTTTCTATAGATCAAGAGCATGAAAAACGACAGAGAAGCAGAGAATGACCCAAAAGGAGAAAAAACTTCCTGCCCTCGCTTCGATACTATGTCAAGGAACCAACTCAACCAAAAGTTCAAGCTTGTGCTTATGGTCCAAGAATGATTTTTATATACTCTAACAAAGACAAAACTTAGGTATATATCACATTTATAGAACATGCCTAATTTTAAGGATTAAAAGGCACACTTACCTATCATTAATGTTAAAGACCACCTCAAAAACTAATTTTTCTTCCACTTCACTTTAAAAACACACACCGCTGTAAGCTTAATATAATTATTAGCGTATCTCTCGCCTTTTGACCTTTTTCTTCCTCAGCAAGAAAACTTTCCTTTTCCTTTTCCTTTTATTATTATCTTTTTTTATTTTTTTACATTCCTAAGTATCTAAAACATTGTCACAGTTTGACTTTTTTTGGTCAAAGTGTGGCACCCTTTGACCATAAATCTTGGAAAAAGTATATTTAGTTATAATGTAAATTTAGTAAAATTAGGTTTATTTTCAAACATTATTTTGAAATATCAATTTTTTTATAATATTTAATTATTTAAAGTACATTTAATTCATAGTCAAAGGGTGCCACAGTTTAAAGAAAAATTAAAGTCAAACTGTGGTAATCTTTTAAGGACGGAGGAGTATAGTGTTCAACTCCTTCTTCTTGGGTTGTTATTATTGTGTTTCTTATTCTAATTGGAGTATATAATACTGCCTCCATCCTAATTTTTTTACTCGTTTTGACTTTTTATCAAGTTTTTACATTAAATATAATTTAAAATTAATAAATGTTATAAAATGTGATGCTCTATATATCAAAAGAAAAAAAGATTAAAATATGAATAAAATTAAACCTAAGAAAACAACCAAACTAAAACTTCATATTTTAATTTCCAAAATAGGATCTAACAAATAATATAAAAAACATTATGAAATGTCAATATACGATGTTTCATTGTTACAGTGCAATAGTCTTATTTAGGAGATAAAAACGTGATACTTCTATTTTATGGGTAAAAACTTTATTTATCTCTTATTTTTAGATAATTTAGTATCTTATATCAAAACTACATCTTAATAAAATAAACTTTATTATGTCAAAACTACATTTCAAAAACTTGATATATCAAAACTATATTTATTCAAAAAACTATATCTTAAAAATTTGATATATCAAAACAACATCTTGAAAATTTGATATATCAAAACTATATTTAAAATAAACTCATCAACTACATCAAAACTACACCTTAAAATTGTGATATATAAAAACTACATTTTAAAATAAACTCAATTATATAAAAAATACTCTTAAAATTTTATATATCAAATTTTTATACATTTATTTATCTAAAATGGTACTCTGTATTTAATATAGAAACTTTACAAAAAAAGTCAAAATGTGGAAAGGTTTTTTTTAATAGAGGTAGGATTTATGTATTAATTTACTCCAAAAAGAATAGGAAAGAAAATACAATGTAAAAAAGAGAAATAAAGTAAAAACTTAATAAAAGGAAAATGAAAAAATGGTGTTTTATTGCATGAGGAAGAGAAAGGAGAGATACGCACTCAAAAAAAGAGGAGATAAGGTAATACTCCGTATAAATCTTCCTGGTTATTAACGGCGTGTATCTTTACTTTATTAAAATTGGCATAAAACAAATCTCATAAAATTATTTTGTATGAATATCTAAGTATCACTTTTGTTCAAATTCTATTCAAAATTTGCCAATTTTTATCGAAAAAATTAAAAATTGACAAATGCTTCGAGAGAGAGAATGTTTTTTATAAAAAAGAATGATATTTTAAGACTATATACTCCCTACTTTGTATATTATAAAATTAATCTATTAATATTGAATTTATAACACAACACCGCATATTTTTTTCATATATCATTGTGAATGATTAAAATCATCAACAAAAAGAGTCAAGCAAAATAAAATTAAGAGAGGTGATACTGTAATAAAGAAAGTAAACCACCAAACACAAATTGCATTTCTTCAAACAATCATGCTACATCTCCACCAAGGAGTGAACTCTATTTTGTACACCACAGGTAAACACCGTCACTTTGATGGTTTGCATATGCACTACACAAAATGCAAGTGCGATCAAAAATTTTGCACAAGATTTTTGTGCCAGTGTGAATAATCAAAGTGATGGTCCAAACCTATGATGTAGAAAATATGGTATACTCCCGCAGAAGTAGCTTTATTCATCTCCAAATGCAAATATTTGAAGCCTCTTAGGACGTTATTATGCGTTCTCCTCATCATCATCTTCCCCTCCATCTTGAGAACCAACCTCGGGATCTTCCTCCCTTTCTTCATCGTCGCGGTTCGCCATTTTAAACGAGAGCCTCAACCTCCCATTTGTTCTATCAGCTTGGAACAAAGGGTTGGGTTTAATGACCGAAATGGCTACTAACACCAACCGGCCGCCCTCGCGATGAGGCCTCATCACCTTAACTTCATCACTACCCCTACCAGTTGATGAAGTCAGGGGCGGTGGGAAGGTCTTGGTTCTTGGGAACCTGTTGCTCACTGCAGAGGGCGGCAGAGGGACAAAAGTCTCTCTGCTCTTCTGCTGTGAAAGGTAGGAAGATATTTCCTCAATGGTTTCAGTATTGTCGAAGCCTGTTTCGCTCCCCAAGCTCTCGGTACACATCTCCAGGCTTTTCGAACTTAGCGTTGATAAGGAGCGCGTCATCCGCAGGCGAACAGGCAGTTCCATTTGATTTGGAGTGGGGGACGGATTGTTTGCTAGCTCTTCGATAAAGCTCCACCCGCCGGAAAACCGCTCCTTGATTGATTCTTTGGGCGGTAAATCTAGTTCGTGCATGAGTTTGTTTGAATGCAACCCTTGGGCAATAGAATAGCTTGCTGCTGCCTTCATCATGATCTTAGAGAGGCTAGCTATACTAGCTAGGTTTTGAGGAACAAGAGATAAATTATGGTAAAAATATGGAAAATACAAAAGTAGATGATAATGGGGAGGTGAATGGAGGAAGGCTCATATTTATAGGAAAACATTGGCCTGGTCATGAACATAAAGGTAGACGTACGCAAGTTGGTGTGAACTCTCCTATAGTTTTAATTTTTAGAGTGTGTTCTTTACAACTGGATAAAAAAAAGCTGATATTAGAAGAAACTGGAAGGAACTGGAAGATACCAGAAGAAATTAGAAAACTGGAAAGAAATGGAAGAAAATGGAAGGAACTGAAAGAAACTTGAAGAAATTGGAAGAAAACTAGAAAAAATTAAATTAAATTGAAAAAACTAGAAAAAAGGAAAATCTAAAAAAAATTTAAATTTTTTATGTATTTTTATATTATTCTCGTTCTAATTCTTGTTGTTATAAAATACTAATATTGTTATTGTTATCATCATTATTATTATTATTATTATTATCATCATTTTTTGTTGTTGTTGTCATCACGTTATCTTAATGAATACCTTTAAGATAAAAATATTGTTATTTTTATGCACAAAAAAAAACTACTTTTGCAAAAGAAAAAATAATTAGAATATAACATTAGCATAAATATCAAAACGTTAAATATTTAAAAATTATTGTGGTTCCGATGCACATCACTTTATTTATGCAGTATTTATCATAAAATAATATATTTGCAATTATACTTTATATATTACAAGATTTTGTTTTAAATATCAGACAAGCCACATAATGTGATCAGTGTGTATAATAAAAATAGTAAGATGAAAAAATGAAATAATTTATAAACCATACTTAATTAGTTATGAACATAATAAGTGTGATAATAATAATAATATATCGTTTTCAGAATAATTGGTCAGGAACTAGAAAGAGTTTGAAGAAAATAAAAATAGTTGGAAGAAACCGGAAGAAATTGGAAGGAAATGGAAAAAACTGGAAAAATGGGAAGGAACTGGAAAAAACTAGAAGGAACTAGAAGAACTGGAAGAAATTGGAAGAAATTGGAAAGAACTGGAAGTTAATAGTTCAAGCCCTAAATAAGAAGCTCTTAGTAGTGATCAAACTTTTATACTCCGTAATTAATTAAATAAAAGTTGCATTAAATATTACGGAATATTATATTAATACAACAAAAGAATTTTATAGAGTATATTTTTTTAAAAATGATGAATGTGATAATGAAATTATGTTTTATTTACATGGAATATATTTTTTACTTATTGATTAACAAATTTTAATTAATACTTTGGGCTAATGATGGTAGTATTATATACGGATTTGTATTCAAGTTTTTAAAATGTCCGAATCAATTCAACCAAAACTCAAGTGTATGGTTGTGACCAAGGAATGATTTTTTATATTCTAATAACACGCTCCCTCAGCTCACGTGGAGGCGTAGTCGTTTTCGAACTTTGTACGTGAAATCTTAAATTGTTTTATAATTGGTGGCATTGAGTTTCAAACCCGTGACCTCTTAGTCACCAAGGCTCAGGTACTATATCAAGACACCAATTCAACCAAAAGTTCAAGCTAATTGTTGTGATCCAAAAATGTTTTTATATTCTAACATATTGACTAATGGAATAATTGTATTAACTACAACACTTTGGAGAATGCAAGTGTATATAAATAAGAGAGATTCCAAACATATTTAAGAATCATAAATGACAACTTCCTAAAATACAAAGACTACCATAAACAATATGTAACTATTATGATTGCCTAACGCCCTTTTAAGTTGAATTGCGTGTAACGAGCAGAAGCTTGTGTTGAATATTACAACGGGAATAATAATAATAATAATAATCATGGGCGGACCCAGAACATTTGAACTGTGGGGTCGCAATTTAGAAAATTTATATCCAACCGTCATATTTCTAACAATAAATAAACAGTATTCTGTAATACATAACATTAAAGTTTATATATGTTATTGAAAATACTAATTAAACATAATTCTACATTGCAAATGTGAAATACATCTTTGGATTCTCAATCAATTCTTTCTTTTTAAATCTTGGTATTTTTAAAAATACTTTTGCATCCTATATTGAAATTTAAATAATTAAAAACATTATAAACTTAAAACATAACCTAATTATATCAACATATTCACAAATCACAATCTTAAAAAAAATAAACGAATTCAATTCCCTATTCTGCTATTCACAATAGCAAATTTATAACAAAAAATAAAATTTTCATAATTTACAAAAATCTGGCAAGTAGAAATGGAAGATAAAGATTTGTTCGAGAAATTGGGGGTGTCATCTTCCAAAAAATAATATATACTCATTCCTTTGCATCCTATATTGAAATTTAAATAATTAAAAAAATTATAAACTTAAAATATAACCTAATTATATTAACATACTCACAAATTACAATTTTAAAAAAATAAACGAATTCAATTCCCTATTCTTCTATTCACAATAACAAATTTATAACAATAAATAAAAATTTTCACAATTTACAAATAAAAAAAGAAATATCTAATTTAGATAATTAGATTCAATAATGTAAGAAAAAAACCTAGCAAAGTTGAAATGGAAGATTTGAAGATTTGTTCTTGAAATTGGTGGTGTCATCTTTTAAAAAATAATATATACCCATTTCCTAAAGCTAGTTTGGAACTCAGAACCGCCCACCCTAATGCAAAACGCGGAGCATTCCACTCCTTCAGCGGGTACAAGTTGAATCCTCCAGCGTTTTTTTAGAATATATACTAAATATAGGTATACACTAAGAAAATTGTATATATACTAAAAAAATTTATAATTTCCGTGGGGTCGCTTGACCCCGTTTGACCCAACGTGGGTCCGCCCCTGATAATAATAATAATAATAATTCGAACTTATAAACCGTTCGGATTTTACAACGAGAAATAAAGAAAATAAAACTGGAGTCTTCGGAAGCTCGAACGGACTGGGAGAACACGAACAGACAGCAAGGCCGTGACTTTAGAGAAGATGATCGGAAATCGGGGATTCGCCGGAGCAGTTTTTCGAAGTGAAGGTTAGGAAAGCGGAGTCGCCGAAGCTTTCCTTAAGGTAGTATTGCCCGCCTCCCGCACTGGCAAACGTGGGCAACCTCCTCCCAGGATAAAACCACAACGTGCTAAGTCTAGAGCGGTAGAACAGAGCACCGGCGAACGAGAACGACGGAAAGTGATCGCCGGAAGAGTTGATCAAAAATCGGGGATTCGCCGGAAGAGTTTTACTGCAGAGAGAGAGAGAGAGTTTTCGAGTGTGTTCTTCTCCTGCAGCCAAGCCCTCCTTTTATAGGAGGGAATTCTTGGCTCTTCACTGGACCATCGGAGATTACGAGGAGATGGTTGTCTCTTCGGTCTCAAGTGCATGCATGCTCATTACAACGGCACTTCGTTAGTCACGAAGTGTCCACACGTGTTTAATTCGATCTCGTAAAAAGTTGGCCCCGCCACGCCGCAGACGCGGGCGCGACGCGCCTCGCCACGCCCCGCCCCGCCCCGACGCGGCGCGCGTGTCGTGACGTGCCAAGCCGGACGAATGGCGGCGGCAGCAGCACGCGAGGAGTCCTCTTCTTGTTCCTTTCATAAGCTCAATTCAATGTCAAAGCTTAAATATGAGAATACGAAAGGTTTAGAAACCGGTGTGGGACAAAGGTATTTACTCTACCTTAGTATTCAACTTTGAGAATAAATATCTCATTCACCCTAGCACCGTTTATGGCGTGTCATATGTCGAGACATCCGTCTTACTTACGAGATTAAACGTCCATAATTATTTCAGAAAATAATTTTGTGGACCCTACCGAATTTATGTCCAAAAAAGTCCAATTTATTTAAAATTTCCAACAATCCCCCACATGAATGAAAATTAATTCATGCAACTGGAAATAACTCTGAAGTTGAAACTTGCAAAGAGTAGGTAGGTTTTATGCCTTTGAACCTACTCCTTGTAAAGTATACCTTCTCTACTAGTTGTTCAGTAAATCGTGATGTCTTTGAACTGTACTGCCGTTTATGTAAACGATGATATACAATACACAAGTTTCAACCAACCATCATTCCGTTCTCATGGGTGTGCCCATTATGGTCGTGGAACACGCATCTGGTTCTGCAAGAGTGTCAAACAGGATCAGCCCGAAATCCTTCTGTTGAAGCGACCGCACTTCACTCTTACATAGGTGATTCTTCTGAGAGTATTCCGATTACTCCACTTGGACCTCTTTGTCCATAGTTCAAGAATCATTAAAGCGTCATGCTATCCTCATCGTTTTCGGGAGTCACTATATCTCAGTAGGAACGGAGGGCTGTTAAGCCGGTGATCCGGCTTGCCCCCAGAGTGACCGTGCGTCGTTCCTTAAGTAGGTTGTCCCATTGAACCCAGGTACCACCTAGGTTGGGTTTTCCTTCATGGAACGTTCCCAGCACAAGGTAGGGCTTTCAGACCCATTCCTACTACTAACTTCTCATGTTGCTCATTGGTTAACCCTTTGGTTAATGGATTCGCTAAATTATCCTTTGACTTGACATAGTCAATCGAGATAATACCCGTATTGAGAAGTTGCCTAATGGTTTTGTGTCTACGGCGAATGTGCCTAGACTTACCATTATACAATTTGTTCCGAGCTCGTCCTATTGCTGACTGACAGTCACAATAAATGCAAATAGGAGGAAATAGTTTTTCCCAGTTTGGAATATCCTCAAGTAAATTCCGAAGCCACTCGGCATGTTCTGCACACTTATCTAGTGCTATGAACTCAGATTCCATGGTGGATCTGGCAATTAATGTTTGTTTTGAGGATTTCCAAGAAACAGCTGCACCAGCTAACATAAAGATAAATCCGCTTCTGGATTTTGAATCCTTATTATCCGCAATCCAATTGGCATCAGTGTACCCTTCCAGCATGGGTGGATACCTGCCATAGTATAGGCTATAATCTCGAGTATATCGAAGGTATCTCATTACTCGGACTATGGCCTTCTAGTGCTCAGCACTCGGATTGCTAGTATACCTACTTAGTTTGCTAATGGCGCAAGCTAAGTCTGGC